TTTTTTTTTTTTTTTTTTTTTTTTTTTTTTTTTTTTTTTTGCTTTCAGAACCTTTGGGAAAAAGGACTTTGGTTTCTCAGAGTGTCGTTTTCCTCATTCAAGTCCTCCTCTGGGGACAAGTTTAGAGTTGTCTGTTCCTAGAGAGACACAAGCACCTGTGTGTTGACAACAGTCCCTTGGTGTGAGTCTTTTGTCATAGGGAGTTTCAAGTCAACAATAAAATCCTTATCGCTCCCCTCCCCCAAGAATTTTGGTTCAGTTTTTTGTCTTCTTTTAAACACAATATACAAAAATAGAAATTCTTCCTTATTTTTCATGTAAAAATATTCCTCTGATTGCAGTTCTCTGTGAGTGTGAGTGTGGGCTGGGGAAGCCTGGCGGGGCCACAGCGGGGCCAGCCTAGCCGGGGTGTGTGGGGCGGATCCGCCGGGACCGCTTGGTCACTGTGGTGTACTTGAAGGGCTTCTGCAGCTCTGCCTGTCCCTTGGGGTAGCGCTTCATGAAGTGGACGTCCTGCTGGTTCTCCCGGGTCTTGGGGCCCTTCCGTGGCCGCCCCTTCTTGGTGAAGCCCACGTACCAGCCAGAGTACTTGGCCGACATCAGGGCTGTGTAGTTGTTCTCCAGGACCTTCTCGATGAACACACACTCTTTGCTGGTGCCATCGGGCTGCGGGAAGAGAGAGGAGGAGGTGAGAAGGGGGAGGGCGGGCACAAGGGACAGGGCTATGTAGAGAGGGCATGAGCAGGTGGCCAAGGCTTGGGGTCGTGGAGTAGAGAGGGCCTGACCCAAGCTTTGGCCTCAGCAATTTCACTCCCTGGATCTATGGAGTGGACTTGTCATACTAGCCCCTGCATCCTTCCCTACTCACCAGTTAGGTAACATCCTCCCATTACCACTCAGGGATCCATCTCTTCCACTCTCCGCACTGTAACCAGGGGCTTCCACCTCAGCTCTACTAGAACAAGAGGCCTAGACCTGACCACTCAAAACGTTATTTCCCATGACCAGTGCAGAGCACAGCACGTGGCCTGAGCCATCCAATCAGCGTTCCTCGAGACCCTTGTGTACGTAATCCCCAAAAATCACAGGCCGATTTACACTTGGGAAACACGTAATGCTGAAGCTAAGGCAGCCATTGTACCACCATGAGGGGAAATTCTGTCTGACGACAAAGCCAGCTTGGAGCAAGGAAAGCCGAGAGGAAGAGAATGACAGAAACCGCGTCCTCCTCACATCTTTTAGCTTCTGGACCGAGCTGCGCCTGAGGTTCAAGTTACCTCACTGTTATGTGGGCTAACAATATCTCATGTCCTTTAAAAACAGTTGAGAGTGTCCTACCACATGCAACAGAAAGGAGTCCCAAGTGATGTGCGCTAAACCTTAGATGAAGCCAACTACTCAACTGCCAATCAACTCCACTGTTATACAGTTAAATATAAATTCCATTACATGTGGGATGCGGTACCTCTTAATGTTTGGTGTGAAGAGTGGTGGGAGCCTCTAAAAATAAGAGTTTGGGCATGGCCAAACTTCAAAGCCTGTAGCCGTGGTTCTGAGATTTCAGGGTCCCAGGTGAGCTCCCTGGGAGACTATGCTAGGCAAGGAGCACTAGATTCAGAGTCAGAAGTTGAATCCACTCTAGCACTTCCTTATGTGACCTCAGGCTAGTTAATTCCACTCTAAACTTTGGATTCCTCGCCTGGATCAAAGAGGGAAAACGACTCCTGCGCCACAGAGATGTTATGAGGAATGACGCTTATAAACGAGCCTGGCACACAGTAGGAACATGTTAAATTATTCCTGAAGAGCAGGTGGTTCGGACAGTCTGGCCTCCCTCCTTGGATCTGGACAAAGAGTGGTGCGAAGCAGGCTTTGAATCTCCTCCTTGAGAAAGTCGAGTTGCTCTGTGTGGAAGAGTGGGAAACACACAAAGTTGGAAGGCCTGAATTAGCAGCACTTGAGTTTCCAGCTAACATCTCCAAATTTAGGCCGGGCCCACTCCTCGTTACAGACGGATGCCAGGCCAAGTTGGAAGCCCAGCGGTCTGGCTGTGCGTGGAGACTGAGGTGCGAGTTCCAGCCTTTTGTTTGAAGTGGAAAACGGGCCGGAGCTTCCAGGAACGTTCACCTTTGAGCAGAGGGCAAGCTTGGGCCCTGCAGACAAAGTGCTGAACTTCGCAGAACGGGACAGGCAGGGTAAGAAAACATTCTCTGGAGGAGAGATCTTTTGAGGAGGCTGCAGAGTGGGCAGGGGGGTAGGGCCTGGGAGACACACACAGGACCCAGAGGACATTAGGGACTGGGTGAGGAGTGAGGGACTATTGTGAGGGAAGCCAGGCATATGTGCAAGGCTGATAGGAAGGAGTGGGCTCTGGGCTCTGGGCCCCCCATGAATAATTCTGGAAGCTGCCTATCCAACCTGAGTCCAGGTCCCTTGGCTGGTTTCCATGGAACAGTCAGAGCAAACTGAATAAAGGCTACACCGTGGCTGTTTTCCCACCCTAGAACATCTGCCTGGAAAACTGCTTTCAACCTTCAAGGCTCAGTTCAGTAACCACCTCCCCCGGGAAGCCTTCCCTGACTGCCATCTAGCTCCCTGGGTATTTCCTCCTCTTCCTTCAAGGCTCCATTTAAGCACCAGGCTTTACTGAACTCACATACTCCATCTTCCGAAACCCCTCGACACCCATTCCTTCTCCCGTCGCCCCCCAACAGAGCAATTCTGTATCTGCCTGCCTCTTCATCAGCCCAAGAGCTTCAGGAGGTCAGGACTGCTTCTCAGTTGCTCTCCTGGCTCAGCACAAATCTGAGCCCAAGACAGGGGTGCCCAGAGCATCTGTGGTTAAATGGATGAGAGTTCTGCTGGGATAGAAATGGTGGGGTTGACACATGAATGGGTTTTCCTCCAAAAGAAAACGGACTCTGCCTCCTGGATCTCTTACGAATGTTCCAGAGACAGTCATGAGCTACGAGAGGCCCCTCCTCTGGGGGATGTGCCGAGAAGAGTGAGCAGAGGGCTGGAGCTCTCTGCCTGCCAGCCTTGGTCTCCCTCCTCGTCCATTCACTCAATCATTCAGAATTTACTGATCGCCAACCACAGGCCAGACATTTCCACATGCATTGTCTCATTTAATCCTCATAACTTGCTAAGGTAGACTCTACCTGGTAGAAGAAAACAGTTCAAAGAGGCAAAAATGGCTTTCCCGAGGTCACGGAGCTTGTTAAGTGGCAGAGCCAGGATTTGAACCTGCGTTTGCCACATGTAGCTCGCGTCTCTGCTGTCTAGCGCCAGACAAGCCCATGAGGAGAAAGGGTATGGAACAGTGGGCGGTGCCCATCAAAACGCCTCCCCTCCCCCAGGCCCACAGAGCCACCGCGGGCATGAAGCAAGAACTCGGAGGTTCAAGGGCCAGCACACTGCCTGGCACACGTGCTCATTCACGTCTGGGTTGAGGATCTGGGCTTCAGGCTGAGATTCCCGACACTCCAGAGGTCAGGAGCCCCTTGGGAGGATCCATGGGGCCTATGATGGTCACAAGTTCCCCACCATGAACTCAGACCCAGTGGATAAGAAACTAACAGTAGGCTGTCCCGGGGCTTGACCCTCACCTCTGCTGAGTACCTCTATAACCCTGCTTACGGCCTGCAGAGATTTTAAAAAAAACATATGCACGGGCCTCATCTCTGAAAATGCTGACTCAATCAGTCCAGGCAAGGCAGATCATCAATATTTAGAGAGTAAGTGAATAGCCCATCCCAGAACCTCGGTGATTTAGTAGAATTTGATCATCTCTCCCCCTCTGCCACCTCCAACCTCCTTTCCAAACTGGAGTCCTATTCCTTCTATTTGACCTGAAGACTGAATCCTGATCACATCATTTGGCCCCTAGATCTAGTCTTCCTTGAAACTAGAACTACCCCCTGGATGTTTTTAGTTACATAGGCAAAAAAGTCCTTTTATGCTTAAAGGCATTTTGAATTGGGTTTCAGTCACTTCCAACCAAAGCAGTCTTCACAAAGATACAGTGGTAGGCAGGGTACCCTCTGCCCTGAAAGGGTCTGGGGCCCTATGTTGCCCCAAAGAGGACACACCGGTAATCACACAGGAGGGGGCAGGTGAGAAAAATCCGTCTGGGTTGAATCTCCACAAATGGGGAAAAACTGCCTAGTACATAGTGTTTGACACTCAACAACTCTTTATGGAATGAAAGGAAGTACTATATCCTAGGTCAGGTGGACGTGGGGTCCAGAGAGGTGGCAAGGAGAAGCGGGGGAGAAGAGCTCTGGTATATGATGGGTACAATGCAGCAGAGGGAGGAGCACAGCCAAGGGTCTGGAACATTGGCAAAGGCTCTGCCGGGGGCTCAGCAGATGCGTCCAGCTGTGGCCAGAGATGTAGAAGATTGACACCCAGGGTCAAGACCATCCAAGGAAGCTATCCTCTTGAGCCAAAGGAGCCAGAGCCTAAGCTGAGGTCAAGGAGTCCCACAGGTGAAGGACCCGGCTTCAAAGAGGAAGGTAACTCATGTTTAACAAGTAAGTGCCTACTAAGTGCCAGTGGTATCTTCCCATTTTACAGGTGAGGACGCTGAGGCTCAGGGAGGTCAGGGCACTTGGATTCCTGGGCTTCAGGTGGCTAATTCTGGCCATAGGTTAAGAGTCCATCCTCAGAAAGCAAGCACCCGCATTTCTATTTCTTTGGTGCCCCTGCAGCCCTTTGGGCAGGTACAAGAAGCATGATGGATGGACCCACAACTGGATGCAGCGGGGGACGCAGGCACGAAGACAGACGGTGACAACCCAGGTTAGCAGAACGGAGAGCGACAGCTGTGTGACGGGCTCTGGGCTTCAGGGCGGGTGCGCTGACTGAGCAGTCAGTGAAGCCAGAGGCTACGGCAGGATGAGCCAGAACTCGGGCGGATGGTCAAGGGAAGGGCAGTCCTGGCAGAGGGTACGGCACGCACAAAGCCTGAAGGCCCCTCAGGGAGCAGAGGCTGGCAGTGCCATGTGTCCGCGACATAAGGACCATGAGGGCGGGGAAGCTCTCCCCGAGGAGTGTAGCCTTTCTCGGGTAGGTGGTGAGGACCCAGGGGCTGGTTCTGAGCTGAGCTGGGGGCAGAGGGTGGGGAAGACCTGATCCCTTTTGTGCTTTAGAAAGCTGAGGGTGGGCACCGGGGGAAGGCCTGGAGGTGGAGCCTGAGGCCGCTGAGGGACATTATTCCCGAGAAGGTATGAGGCCAGAACGGAGGCAGGAGTTAGGGAAGCAGCAGACACACCAGCTATCAAGAGTTATTCCAGGACCGGGGTCTGACTGGCTGGGGCGTCTGTGATGAAACAGCAACCCAAGGGCCTGGGGTTCCAGCTGCAGGAGCCAGAGAGTGAGGGGCGCTAGGCTAGGCAAAGGCCAACAGGGGGACCTGCCCAGGGCAAAGTCAGGACTAGGGTGCGGTGGGTTGGTGGGGCGCCCTTGGAGCCTCCCAGGTCAGCCCAGAAGACCGGAAAGGGATGATGGGGGGAGCTGCAGCAAGCGGGGCGGAGCGAGGGGAGGGGAGAGGAGGGGGCGGGCGGGGGCGAGCCTCCCTGGGCTACGCGGAGCCTCGCCGCCAGCTGAACCATCCCCAATATTAATGACGGGAGAGAGGGCGAGGGGGCAGGAAATCGGAGCCGGCTCCTGTGGAAGCGGTGACTCAGCGGCCAGCCGGCGGGCGGGCGGAGGGCGGCCGGCGGCGGGGAGCAGCCCGAAGGGACGGGGCTGGTCTTTTGATCCCAAGACGGCCCTCCTGGGGTCAAGATGCCGGGAACCGCGTAGACGGGGAGGGAGGGGCGCGCAGGCACTGGGCACGGCGGGCTGCAGCGCGGCCCCTCCTTTAAACAGAAAAAAAAAAAAAAGGTTGGGGGGAGAAAGCCGGGCCCACAACTGCAAGCAGGTTGGGCCTGGGAGGCGGCCCAGGCGGGCAGGAGAACAAAGCGCCTGACGCGGTGCTTGCCGCGCCGCCACAGGAAACGCACGGCCAGGCCAGGGCACCCGGCGCCCGGCCTGCCCGCCGCCCCTGCCCCGGACCCCCTCGCTGGCCGGCGGGCCGGCCTCGGGACGCGGAAAGTGAATCACTAATTAAAACCACTCCTTGGCATCCCGGGGCGGCGCTACATGGATTACTATTATTTTGCTCTTTGAGAAGCTCCAGTCGGTGTGGGCAGTGCTGCTGGATTCCTTTGCCTTCCAAACCGGGCTTTGAAGCCCGCCTACCTCTAGCGTGGGACCTGGGACAAGTGCCCGGATGTGGCCAAGCCTCAGCTTTCTCATCTGGGAAATGGGGATGGTGGCGGTACCAACCCCTTGGGATTATTTTGGAGCATTTTTGCTCAGTGACCGGCAGAAAGCAGGTGCTCAATTAACAGAGGCTATTGGTACCGTTGTTATTAACAAATAATAAGCAACAATACCCTGGCTCTGTCCAGCCAGGTAACAGGTCCCTGGCCTGTTACCTTCTCTACAGGCACTTGGGAATGGGGGAGGGGAGACGGGTAAGAATTGAGGGATTCAGGAAGTCAAAACCATGGCTTAAACAGGAGTTGAGGTCATGCTTCCTTCCCCCCAACAAGGTGTAATAAATGCAAATCATCCCCCAAGGTCTTGCCGCCAAGTAGAAGAAGCCATCCTCCTTGGAATCTGGGTCTACCCTCCACCCCCCACTCCACCTGTCCAGCAGAAGCCACAGCCCCCTCCAATATACAAACTGGATAGGGGGTGAGTTGGGTCCCTGCAGAGAGAAGGGAACATGGAGCGTGCCACTATAGAGCTACCACCAGTAATGCTTTCCACTGGAACATCCAAAGGAAGCAAGTGTATGAACTTCACAAACAGACACTAGGAAAAAGGGGGGCAGCATCAAAACGCAGCATCAGTGGAGGCTCAGAACCCCTGGCACATGGGTCCACACCCCACCCCTGCCCTAATTTGTTACATGCAGCTCTCTTGCCTATTCCAAAGTAATAAAATCTTCCTGAAATGCTAGAATCATGAGGCCCAGAGCTGACGAGGCTGCTGGGTTCCAGAGGCGCTGCTTTGAGGAGTCGTAAAACCCCTGGTGATTGTTAAAACAGTGCTGCAGCCCCTGCCCTTGGCCTAATGGTTCCCTGTTCCCAGACATCAGGTACATTCAGGCAGGGAGCCGCAGAACCCCTTGAGGATTCTCCCACTACCAAGCAAGCCAGAGCTCCACATCCACCAGGAGAGATCAGGGCCCTGTGTGCTCACCAAAGTCACAGCCACAGATACCTCGGCCTGGCAGGCTGCAGGTGCGGGGACAGAGAAGTCCCTGGGACTTCTCTCTCACACACGTGCGCGCGCGCACACACACACACACACACACACATTCATGGGGCCTGTTTTCCATTTGGGAATGATAGGGCCCTGGACGCACTGTTCCAGCTACCCAGAGCTGCCGGGGGACCCACCCAATCTAGACCATCACTTACCTTCCCCACAAGCTTGCCTTTCCGGTTCATACACAGGTAGAATTCCGTCTCCTTGCCCTTGATCCGGACTTGACTACCGAAGGTATCTGTCTCCACTAGGAGCTGGGCTTCGAAAGGCAGAAGGAGAACAAGACACATTTTTTTACCAGGGGCAATGGCTGGCCTAAAGACTCAGCGACATGATCCCTGACCCTGTCCCTGGACCTCCCACTGCCCCAAAATCAGGCATGCGGGATGCCTCTGACAGGTCTCTCGGGAGCACCCTGCCCCTTAGGCAGGGAGAGAAGCTGTCTAACACCTGTTCCCCGACTCCCAGCCTCTCTTGACTCCACTTGGGACCCAGATCGCCCCTTGTGGCTGAAGACCAGTGTGCCTTCTGCTCCCCTCATCATCCACTTCCCCTCCTCCGCCAATACCCTTCCCCAAGGCAGGACAGACAGCCACACAAATAACCCCAGAAAAGCAGCAGTCTCTGGACTAAGGGGTCAGACATTCAGAGGCACGTGAGCTCACACAGGCATGCACACCACACACACACGCACACGCACACGCACACAAAACACACACACACACACCTTGCCTTGTGGAATGCCAAGCTGCTTCCTCCAAAATTTAGGTCACAGGCCCCTTCCTCCAGGGAAAACAACAGCTGGAGAGTCCCCTCCCCTCTGGGGATATGGGTGAGGGAGTGCCCTGGCCACTTGAAGTGGGGAAGGGTCAGGGAGGGGTGTTTCGAGTCCCTGGGGAAAGGAGGCTATCTGCATAATATTTCACCTTCCTCAATCAAGGCCACCAAGGCTGAAGAAAAACTACCTCCCGGGAGCCCGGAAGTCCCAACCAGGACCCAGTACCCCCTGGTGAGGAGTGGGAGGCCCCATGCTAAACCATCTATGCTCCACAGAGCCTCCCTCAGGATGGGGGTGTCCAGAGCTGATCCCCAAAGGCCTGACTAAACAAGGACCTCAAGTGGCCAAAGGGTGACTGCCTCTTGATTAGGCATACTGTGAGACCCCTCCCTGTCCCTCTGCCAGTCCACATTTTCTCCCCAGTAAGGTGCTGTGTGACTTTGGCAGGTCATGTGCCCTCTCTGAACCTGAATCCCTGCGCCTGTATTTCCCACCGCTACCACCCCCTTCTTTGCCTATGAGGCACTCCCCATTCTCACCCTCCCTCCCCTGACTCTTTGCTTCCCAGCACCTGCCCCTCCCTCACCCACAAAATTTTTATTTCAGTGACAAGGGACTTGCTTCTCAATAACAAAAATCATAGCCCTAAACACAGCATCCTTGGAGTCACAAAGAGTGTACCTCAGTGCCCCTAAAATACACTAGGTATGATTTTAATAAAAAAAAAAGTTTAAATATATACCCTGGTGCCCTGCTGTGAAAATTAAAACCATCTGGAACTCAGGATTTCCAATAATTAATCTAGCCTTCCTTTGACACCACTACTAATTAAAATATGATACCCACCTTTCCAAGGAAAAAAAGAAGAATTTACATAAAATTTAAAGATCTAACAAGAATTTAGTAATTCTAGGAACAAGGGTGGGGGGCACATTCTTCTCTCCACCTTCCCCCATCCCTAGTAAACCACTGAGTTGAGAATATTAACCAACACTGAGATAGGGGGTTACAAGCCCTTCATGTTCCCTGTTCCCCTTAACTCAAATTCCCCATTAACTCTCCTCTTAGCTTGGTCCCTGGGAACCAAGGGCCAAACATCACAGCAGCTCTGGGACATGCTTTCCGTATCCCCTCACAAAGCTCAGGCCCCACACGGGATGAGGGTTGTTGGGGGGTCAGGAGGGTCCCCAACTCTAGGAGCTTCTGACGAAGGTAGCATGTATAAGGGGATAGGTGAGAGCTTTGAAATGCACAGATACGGATAGGAATCCCTGGCCCCACTGGTCACTGTATGACCTTGGGCCTCAGTTTCTTCATCTGTAAAATGGGAATAGTCATCTCCAATCTTCAACAGTTATGGTGACGATTATATAAAATGATGCTGTAAAGGGCCTAGCACTCTGTTCTCAGAGGCTGGGTAGGGGAAGCTCAGTAATTATTGTTTAGTTTCCTAATAACTGCAAAACAAAACTGTTTTCCCAGAAAAAAAAAAAAAAAAAAGTAGTGGAAAAAAAATCAGACGTGTGTAAAAGGGCAGAGGTGGAGCAGAACTTGCCTCCCCAAAGTGTGCCCTCTGTCCTGAACTTCCTCAGCATCCTCCAGGGTCGCAGGCACCCCACACCGTGAGTGCATCAGAAAATGCCTTAGACTGGGATTCATGGGGTCTGATTCCATTTCTGGAATTGCCATCCTGGGGGTGTGACCTTGAGTAAGCCACACACCCCTCTGAGCCCCAGTTTCCTTACCCACGCAGTGGGAATGGGGCTTGACCCTATCCTGAATGTCTCTGGCATTGGAGAGGGGCAGGCATGGGAAACCCTAAGAAGAGGGTGAGGCCACAGGACTGGGGCCCAGGCAACTCCAAGTGAGTCCAAGGGGAAAACTGCTCTGTCTGCCCTCCCCCAGCACATGGCTGGGCCTCCGTCCTCAGAAGAGCTCCTACTACACGCTGGATCTGGCTCCCATGTGAGCCTGCTAAAGTCACATATCCCCATGAGCTTGGGTACCTTTGTCCCCTTTTTACAGTGTAGGAAACTGAGGTTCAGAGAAGCAACCCCGCAGGAAGCGCTGACGTCAGGTCTGCCTGGCTCTCCCTGCTGGGGCCTGGGTCCCAGAGGAGGGCCCCCAGCTCTGGGGAGACTTGGCTCAAAGCACAACCCCCATCTCTCATTAACCACAGCCCATCTCAGGAAGCCCTGGCCTCTGGCTAAGCCATCCAAAGGGCCTGGGGCTGGGGCTGGACCGCACCTCCACCCCTGCGAGCCAGTCTCCCTCACCCCAGCGAGGGCAGGGTCTGCACCAGCCTCTGTGCCCAGGGAGCCAGAAGTCTGTTCTTCCCCGACTGCAACAAGCCATGGAGTGACCTAGACTCCACTCAGCACATGACATAATGAGGAGCAAGCCGGGCCAGGATTATGTAAAGTCTTTGGGGAGTAATAGCAGCAGCATTTCTCAGAAAGACAGAAAGAGAGGCTCCGCCCGCTCAGACCAGGTTTGCCCCGAGCCTGCCTGGTCCTCAGCATCACGCTCCCCCTTCTCTTGACTCAAGCCCCAAGCCCCCAAGATGCGGCTCTCAGGAGCTAGCAACCTCATCTCCGCTCAGTTCCATGCTCCTGTCTGTCCCAGGCCAGGCGGAAGGGGGTGAGGATGGTATCTCGCCCCTCACCACCCTGGCATGCCCCCCTCCTCTCTCTGCCACTCTTGTTCCCAGCAGTCTCTTCTCTACACAGCAGCCAGAGGGATCCTTTTAAAATATAAAATTAATTGTGCCTCGTCCCTGCTAAAGCCTCCTGTGGATCTCCAACCCACTAAAAATCCAGACTCTTTACGGGGACCGGAAGGGGCACGTGGTCTGGCCCCTGCTGCCTGCTCCCACCTCCCTCCCTCCCTCACAGCCCTCCAGCCACACAAGCCTCCTTACTGTTCCTGCTCTAAGACACTAAGCACACTCCCACCTCAGGGCCTTTGCACTTTTCCTCTGCCTGGAGATTGCTTTGCCCAGAGCTTCCCATAGTGGCTTCTCATTTCCTAGGTTGACATCTCAGCTCAGATGCCACCTCCTCAGAGAGGCCTTCCCTGGCCATGCTGTCCCGTGTTGTACTATCCTCCCAGTTCAGCTCTAGCCACCCCCTGCTCCATTTTCTTTCTTTCTTTCTTTCTTTTTTTTTTTGCGGCACGCGGGCCTCTCACTGTCGTGTCCTCTCCCGCTGAGGAGCACAGGCTCCGGACGCGCAGGCCCAGCGGCCATGGCTCACGGGCCCAGCCGCTCCGCGGCATGTGGGATCCTCCCGGACCGGGTCACGAACCCACGTCCCTTGCATCGGCAGGCGAACTCCCAACCACTGCACCAGCAGGGAAGCCCCCAGCCCCGCTCCATTTTCCTCAGAGCTCTTCCCCAAGTTGTTTTATGTGCTACCTTTTCTATTGTCTGTCTCTATCCACTGGAAGGTAAGCTCCATGAAGGCAGGCCCTTAACTGTCTCATTCACCACTGTGGTTTCTAGCACCTAGCCCATACCTGGCTCACAGCAAATGACCAATAAGTAAATTTTAGTAAGTGCATAAAGGGCTTGGTGAGGTAGGTATGAATAAAGCTACTTAAAAGTTAAAGCAAATGAGATTCAGGGAGGTAAAGGGACTTGCCTAATGGTACACAGGTAGTAAAAGCAGGGTAGAAGTTCAAACCAAGTCTGATTCCAGGTCAATGCCCTTAGCAACTCTTCCCTCTACCCACCCACCCCACCGTGTTACTCCTGCCACTCACTAGAACTCTGAGCTCCTACCCACCCATCCTTACAACAATCCCAGGAGATTAGAACTATTTTTTATTATCCCCATTTTACAGGTGATAAAATTGAGTCCCAAGGTCAGACAGGGATGAAGTTAAAACGCAGGCAGGATTCAAACCCAGGCAGGCTAACACGGAAGTCTGGGTCTTAGCCTGTCTCCCCTACCGGTCACTTCTCCTCCACGCCAGTCCCTTTCCTGGGGGAGTTAGTGAGTGAACGAACACCAAAGGCAGGCAGAGAAGGTCTTCACTTGACCTCACCTTCTTGAGGCAGAGGTCTGTGGGTTGGGGTGCCCAAAGAGCCAAAGGTTGGGGCCCATCCCTCCTCAGCTCCATGACCTTGAGGGAGGAAGGGGTGCCAACGGTCACCCTGAGGAAAATACCTTCGAGCTGATTCTGGGAGGTGGGGGAGCCCATAGGAGCACCCAAGTCTGGGTTCAAACCGCAGCCAGAGAGGCATGAAATGACTTCAGATCTGGTTTTGACTAGAAGGAAAGGCTGCACGCACTAGAGGGTAAGTGAGTGCAGGATCGCGGGGGGGGGGGGGGGGTTCCACAAGCCAGCTCCCCTGAAGGCAAAGTCCACAGAGCCAGTCTTACCAGGGCCCAGCACAGAGCAGAAGCCCAGCGCCTGCCCATGGCTGGGGGCCAGGAGCTCGAAGGACCCAATCCCTTCTCCAGCACTGAGAGAGGAAA